AGGGTTTAGGGACTTAGGGTTTAGAGCCCTGGGTTTTAGGTTAAAAGATGGGGTTGCTGTTAAGGAACTGAAGTTAAGTTACTATAACAAGAAAGTCATATTACTTACTATATATCCCCATTATTGCCTAAACTCGAAGTCCTTTAGCCCCGAGCCCAAAACTTGACTAACAAACGTTTTTGGGGTTCCTTTGTTAGAGTTTCTATATATAAATATTTGTCAACAAATGCTACCTACTTTGAGCTCTAAAGTCTACAAATTGTACCTATTAGTGTCTGGGATCTGCCTAAGAGTACCTGTAGACTGCTTGGTAGATCTCCCTTGCTTTGGGCAAGCTTGGTTGCTCGTGACATGAGGGCTCCGGGGCGGGGGGGGGGGGGGGGGGNNAGAGGCCTTAATAATTACCTATATTATTTCGGGGGATCCTTATTGTAACTATACTATAAAGGACCCCAAAACCCGATTCTAATTATCAAGGCCCCTATAGTAGGCTTCTGGGTTTAGGTTTTTGGACAAGAGACGGTGAACACAGAGCCTGAGAAGACAAGATGCCGCTGTACGGATCATAAGTCATGTTGTTCAGTTTAGGGTTTAGGGTTTAGGGTTTAGGGATCATAAACCATGTTGTTCAGCGGCCCTGCACCGAAAGACTCGTATCAAAAGTTCACCTCTCGGGTTGACTATCTCGACACTAGCTGGGAACTGGACAGAACTTGAAAAAGACGTGATGAACATATCTCAGATGAACCAGATGTGTCCACGCCACCCGCGAGCCAGCGCCTCGCGAACAGCGCCCCATCGCCGCTGGACTTCATCGACGAAGGCAGCATTCTCACCTGGTGCGAGAATCCGGACATGCAAAATACGGAGCACCTCCGGGTATGAGCACACTCCTTTTATAATAGACCTTCTCGCGGCAGCTAGCGAGGCCATCGGCGATGAAGAAAACTATTGCTTTCGCGCCTCCGTTACCGGCTTCTTCTTTCGGCCTGGGTTGAAAACTGCAGACGACACGCATATTGGATTTCAGACTCCGCGTGCATGGGTATATGCTCTGAGGATTACCAATATCCTAGCCAGCGGCGTGAACCCTTACAGGTTCATGTTTCTGGTAACTGTACAACATACACGCTTTTTAACTTTGGTCTCACAGCAGGGGGAGTGGTGGTGTATACCTACTTCTAAGTCAAAGTATATACCAGACTACATTACCACTTGGACCCTTAGGCTCAACTTTCTCAATCTCTTACGGCTACAAGGGCTCAGAAAACCCTGACAACCTAAATTCCCTAGCCCTGAATTCTGAATTACACTCTAGCTTGCTAAACCCTTAATCCTAAATCCTAAACCCTACATTCAGTGATAGAGCACGAATCAAATCCTGACCACCATACCCCCGAAATGAGCGGCGGCTGTATGTAGGCATGTACGCATTTGTGCATGCGGGCGTGACTATGTATGTACATAATGTAGGGGCCTTATAACAATTAGAATAGGGTTTTGGTGATAGTATACTATAGTAATAGTAAGGAACCCCCAAAACCCTATTCTAATTATTAAGGCCCTACAGTATGTATGCATGCATGCATGAAGGGCCTTATAGGGCTCCGGGGAAGCGCAGCGAGGCAATGCGACACACCGTACCTCAAGTACGACTTCCAAATCCCTGTTGCAACCGGCAGGCATCTCGTAACCACTTTCGTTTGACAATAGGCTCAGAGCGTTTTGAGATAATGCACATGCCGTAGACGGGAGAAGTCTGTTCGACACACTGGACACACACACACACTATTGAATCTGCCATGGTCCCTAAACCCTAAGCCCTAACCCCGAAACCCTAAACCCTTAAACCCTAAACTCTAAACCCAAAGCCCTAAACCCTCAACCCAAAGCCCTAGGCAGGTATCCCTAAACCTTGGTCCCGGGAATGGCCTGCCAAGGACAGGGAGGAGAAATCTTCGTCTCTGAAGCGCTTCCTGAGAAGTCCGGGGCTGCGACACCCAAAATTTCCAAAGTAGGGTTTAGGGTTTAGGGTTTAGGGTTTAGGGTTTGCTAGGGGATTCGGATTTAGGGTTTAGGGTTTTGGGGCTCCAACTACTTCCTTCAGGGCTTGCATAGGAGGGTTAGGGTTTAGAGTCCCATAGTAGATATAGAATGTAGGGCTTCTATATTAGGAATCCCTGTTATGGTCTGGGAAAGTATCCCCCGTAACAGTACCCAGGACCCTTTGGGACAGCTCTAGTTTCCATGTCGCGGCTTATCAAATCAGACGTCTCAAAACCCCGAACCACAAGAATTCGCGAAGCCTCAACATTACAAAACGCTTCGTTCAGGTACGAAAGCTTGAAACAACATGCGAGTCCTCGGGGGTGTGAACTTTAAGTCCAACAGACCTTACAAAACCCTGCGACACTCCCATTAAACCATGAAGAGGCACCGGCGCTCCCCCAAGTGTTTTCAGGCTTGATAAACCCTAAACCCTAACCCTAAGGGTCCATGTACACATGCGATACATGCTTCGGCCCTGAAATACCTACATAGCATTGGCAACCAGGGTTAGGTTGTGAAGCAAAGACATGTCACAAACTCCAGCTTGGCAAGCCGTCGCGGTCGGCACCTGCTCTCATCTTCGACCGCCCTAAACCCCACCTTTTTGAAGGGCTCTACCCTCGAATTAAGAGGTCATAACCTCATATTTCGTAGGGTTTGGGGTCACAGTTAAACCCTAAACCCTAAACCCTGATTTGGGTTCAGGGTCTCGGATTTAGGGTTGCGGAACTGTGGATTGTCTGGGGATCGGGTTTAGGGTGTCATATACCGTACAAGGACCATCACCTTCTATTCTGTAGGGTTTAGGGTTTAGGGTTTAGGGTTTAGGGACTGGGGATCGTTTTGACGAGGCAGGAGCACTCCAAAGGCCTTCGGGCGCAGGATCCTGGTCCAACTAAGTACATACCTATAGTCCCCATTGTAGTTCCTTGTTTTGGCTAATCATTTTCCATGTTATAGGATCCTAATCTTAAAACTAGCTAACAAAAAAGGAACTACAATAGAGGCTAAAGACTAAGGTACTATTCAAGCATGCTCGACACCTATACCCTAACGCTAGAAGGCCCTATAGGGTACTACTACTACTACTACTACTACTTCTTCTTCTTCTTCTACTTCTACTACTACTACTACTACTACTACTACTACTACTACTTCTGCTACCACTACTACTACAACTACGACGACGACGACGACGACGACGACGACTACTACTACTACTACTACTACTGCGACGACCTCCATGACTACTACCACTACGACTCCTACTCCTGCTCCTGTTCATGCTCCTGTTGCTACGGTTGATGCTACTGCAAGAACTACATCGAACCATGCGCATGCGGCACAAGACAACAAACCAGCTATGCGGGCAAAGTTCAATTATGTAAACTGCGAAGCGGGGAGTGTTCAGCCTATGGTCACGTTGATGGCCACTCTGCCTACTACCACCATTTGACGCACCGGACATGGCCAACGCTTTGCATACCAAAGCAAAGCCTCAATTCCCTAGTCTAATATAGGGGCCTGAATAATTACAATAGGCTTTTGGGATCAGTATGAAAAGGAACCCCCCCAAAAAAAAAATATTGGTAATTATTGAGGACCGTCTAGTAAAGACCCTCGCGATCGGAAACTCCGCAAAGCAGATCCTCTTGCCTCCGCGCGCGTGCGCAGCAGCATCCATCTCGATCCAGAGACGATCCACCTCCGCACCATCGGGCTTGAATTTTATGGCTTCAGCACCTCCGCAGCATGATGGATAATGGCAGCGAGTTATAATGTGACCCTAAGGGTCCATGTACCCAAATAGTAGAACATTGGCCTTAACGTAGTCCCTATATAGGTACTTTGGGGCCAACGTTCTACTATTTGGGTACATGGACCCTTAGGGTGATTCTAAAATTCCAACAAACAACAAGTTTACCTACTCAGTTGCAGCCAATGGTCACCATGGCAGCCATAGTCCACGAAGCTGTCAGCAGCATTCTCGCCGCTGTCATAGTCAACATCCGTCCCACCGTCACTAGCCCAACACCACAAAAGAAAGACATCAGGGCTCGTTATCTGCATCGCATTTAGACTTCATTGTCGTCTCACGGAAAGGCCCTCTTCAGAGGATGTTACATCTGATTCCCTTAACCCTGCCGCAAAGTGCAGCTTCATCTGGTTTGTCACTTTGTATAGAGGACTTGTAACAATCACAATAACGGCAATAAGAATATGTAGAAACAAGCTTTGAGGGGATATTCTGGTATGATTATACAAACGAAGCTTAGCCATGCGCACATGATTCAGTCCCGTATACTACTCTAGGTTCCCCCCTGTACCTTCAATATTGAGGCTACCAAGAGCCTCAAGTCATGCAGTTTTAGTACAATATGTTTCGACACTGGAACCCTCTAACAAGAAAAGCGCAAGAGGCTACTACTGGGGATGGTACACAGGCAGAAACTCAGAGCGAATCATGTAGGGTTTAAAGTGTAGTTTAGGGGCTTAGAGTTTAGGGTTGAAAGATTTTCACTTGCAAACACACAAACCGTGCCCCCACACGATGTCACTGCGATTGACAAACTGAAAGCGTAGCAATGACTAATGAACATCATTAGCAGCAACACCATCACTATAAAACCCGAGCCTCTAAACCCCTAAGCCGTAAACGCCTAAACTCTGAACCTCTACTATACCCAGACTCCATTACCCCTCAATCGATTCAGGTACTGTCCTTATACCGCCCTAAACCCTAAACGGTCCCAGAGACTCCAATATCTTTTAATTAAGGAATATACCTTAAATCATATTAGGGATCCATAATATGACTTAAGGTATATTAATTAAGGGGTTTTGGAGTCTCTGGGGTTAGATCAGAAGCTGGCGAAGCAATGTATAATTAACCCTACAGGGGGAGAGTTTGAGCCGTAAGCCCCTCTTGAAGGCTCATGAGACCTAGTCCTAGAAAGGGTTCCTTTGAGGGATCTAAAAAGGGATCAGAAAAGGAGATCTATAAGGGGTCCATGAGGGATCTATATTCTCATAGGGTGGTTTAGGGTTGCTTAATTTTGAATTGAAGGTGCTTAACGCTGAGCCCTAAACCGCTTAGTTCAGGCTTCAAGCCTTCGGCCCCGGCCCCCGGATGCACCTCAGCATCCGCCGGGAACATGCCAGCACCCGCCGTCATCTGCATCAGCTTTTCCCGGATCTCCTCAAGACGGTTTCGGGTTAAGGGTTTAGGGTTTAGGGTTTAGGGGTTTAGGGTTTAGGGTCTAGGGTTTAGGGTCTAGGGTTGCGAGATGTTGCGAGAGTAGGGCCCGCTTGCGGATTAGGAGGTAGGATGAGTTTAGGGATTGTGGGTTTGAGCGGGTCGGGTTTCGTGGGTTGGGTGCTTCCATGGTGTTTGGGGAATGAGGGTCTAGGCTTTTGGGGGTTTTATATAGGGGTGGGCTTGGGGGGGGGGGGGGGGG